CGTGATTTTTGTGTTTTTTTTTATAAACGAGAAAACTTTAATACAATGGAACAACATCGGTTATTTTATTGTGTGTTAGTTATGATGAGCTTTGTCGTTGGCACTAGAAGTGGCAATTACCAACCTTCATTAGGAAAATCAGGTATGTAAGCGTATTTTTTTTTTTCATTCTTATTATCTTTTATAACTATAAATTTTTTAAATGTTATTTAAAGTAGTTTTAAAATTATAATATTTTAATACTTGTTAATCAGCTCATTTAGCTTTATTAGCAGTTGATTTAGAAAAAAGGAATAAAATTATATTTTATGATATCGGTTAATATCAATGAACTGATTAATTATTCATAATTACAACGCTAGTTTTTTTGCCTTCAAAGGATTAATGTTTTAGGAATGTTTAGGTCACTGGGAGAAGTGATTTTTTATATCATATTTTTATTATCCTTTTAACTAGCTTCATTTCATAATCGCTCACGTTTCGTTTTGCAGAATATATCAGAAGTATTGGCAAATCGTATTATGAGAATTCATTATCTACTGATAAAGATCCGAGTAAGTATACAATACAAAAACATATTGAATTTGAATTTTATTAATAACGTAATAAAATACATTTTTACATTTTCCTTACCAAACCCGTATGTATTATAATTCTTATCTTATAATATAATACAAGAACGTATCAGTTAATATTCATATGAAACTTGTTCCGCGACTAAAGAGGATATTAAACTATAAAAAAACATGCACACTCCTTTTAAGATTGATTGCATTTTTCTTTCAATTAAATTTAATTTTATAAGTACACTTATCACATACAAAATTAATTTCGACCGCTTATCGTCATATTAAACTGCTTTTTTAACTGTTTTCGCTACAATATCATTTACAAACTAGCTTTTGTGTTTTTCAATTTATCGTATAAACAATATGTCGACGTCTGTAATAAAAAGTATAGTAAGTACAATTCAAGTAAATTTTAGATGAATAATAAATAAAATTATGGATTGATTAGGTTGACGAGACCAACAAGCAGCAAAGCTGTGTATTTATTTTTGTTATAGAAAAAATTGGATTAAATGACTTAAGTTGGTAACACTGCTATCAAATCCATTATCTTCATTGTTTGTCCTTTGTTTGTCGTTGTTAAAGACCTTGTCCAAGTAGTAAAATTAATTGAAATATCGTCATAACAGCGTTAGGATGTCGTATTCTATATCTAGAGATAAGCGGTCGCAACCCTAGTAGATTTCGGGTAGCTCAATCGGTTAGAGCAGTCGCTCTGTCGCTATATGCTTTGGTTCTAATCCATCTGTGTCAATTTTTTAAACACTTTAAAATTAATATTAAGCGCTATGAATGCAAAATTAATTAAATATAATATAATATTTTCCAAGGTAAGGTCTAAATAGAAATAGTGCGATCGCTATATATTACAATATCATGAACTGAATATTTCTCATTTGCATAGTCTTAGAGTTTTTAAGATTTTAAAAAACATGGTATTTACCATATTTCCAAATTAGTTTTTTAAATAACTAGTTTATGCCTAATAATTGAATTAAAAAGTTGTAAATAAGAGAAGTCATTAGTTATACGATACGTATCATTTGGTAAACTGGTTTCACGCAAAAACATGTTGGAGTATTATGTTATTGAATCGATTCTTTCGTGTAATTTCATTTTACACATTAACACAGTGGGCAAATACAGATAATTAAGTACTTTAAGTATTCTAATCGTAACTTAGAAACTACTTATCGTAACTGAATAAATGATTGTCCACGTGCTATAGGCTATGTGACGTTACATTAAATTGACAGCAACGCCCTCTAGACAGCAAAAAGTATGAAAGTAAATAATACATTTGAGAATTAAATAAATAAAAAATAAGTTCAAGAACTAAAACCCGACTACAACTAAATCACGCCACTGATTATAGCAAAACAAACTGGCATACGACTACGCTTTCCTTTGGTCATCGCTATTGTAATATAGCTATCGCTATAAAATTTCTTGTTTCAAACTTTTAGAGCGTGATTTTGTAATTATTTGTTAACATTTTCCATTAAATTATTTTGATATTTTGGAAATGAATAGTTTATAAACTAGTTTTTTAAATGTATTAATCTGAAAGTTCTATTACCAGTCGGTTCAATGTTGAAAATTAACTTTGCTATTATGTCTTGAGTATGTGGTATTGTGTTACTGTAGGTTTTTCGGATCACCATAATACAAGAGACATAACTAACGTATCTGTAAAAAAAAATCATTGGACAATCTATTCATTTAAAAAAATGACACTTTACTATATAACGTAAACAATACTTGTAAATGTCAATAACCATAGATTGTCAAATTTGAGTATTTTCCGTTAGAAAAATACATAAACATAGTGTTATCACTTATCACCTAACAACATAACGTATCTAAAGCAAATCAAACAATAATTGTTTGATTTGGTGTTATCTAAAATAATATTGATCTAGAAATTTAATCGTCTGACTGTGCATTTATTGAAACATGTAAATATTACCATTAAAAACCATAACATACATATTTATGCTGTATTTCTAGCTCCCAAGTGTTATAAAACTATGCAAAAAATACTTTTTCCTTCAATTCTAAAGAAGAAATCTATACTATTTAGGTTATAGTATTTATCTACCTAAATACTGTACATTTCTTCTTGAGAATTTTTCCTATAGGCGTGAACCGCGACATTCCTTGCATATATTCAGTATTGTCCGTGACGGCATTACGGCACGTCTTTCGAATTTAAAATAATCGTCGTGGGAATTCTGATGAATTTTTATAGCCATTCTGAGTAAAAACAAATACATTGAACTTAGTTTTGTGGTATTTGACGACGGTAAAGAATTTTAATATAATCAATAGTTTATTTTCATTTAATTTATTAAATGAAAAAAGAATTTTTATTGTCAACCGATATAAGTTTCGTATTGATTAGTATAAGACAAATGGCTTAAACGTTTAAATAAAAATTCTAATAAAGATTTTCAATTCATGGATAGCTTACAGTTGATTATTAAAAAGCCTACTGATTGACAATCAAAACACAGCTCAAACGATTAGGTTTAGGAAAATGATAAACAAAACCTTAGAGTTCATACTTTAAGTACAAAACTCACGCAACAATATGTAGTGACATAAAACACCATTTTTCATTAACATTTACTCGATAATCAGAACCTTGTATGGTACTCAAGAAGTTTTGTAATAAGACTAAGCAAAAACACATAGCATAAATGACCTTTTTGATAACTGAGCCTTATTTCCCAATGTTAAGTAAAGAGATGTTGACCAACGTGCTTATTTTGGAATGCATATAATACGCATAAAAAATAGTTTCTATACGACACGTAATGACGTCATCAACGCGAAATATTGCTATTACATCATAAAGTAAACGTTGTTCTCACGTGGAGAAATCGAAATTAAGTTTTTGATGGTTATTCGTCACCATCAAAAAGTTATAATAACAATAAAAATTATAGTCGACTATTTTGTACTAATACTATTATATATTTAATGGCGTTTTTCATTGATATTATTCATTTATTATTCATGCTCTAACTAGCGTTTAAAACACGTAATATGCCCAAAACAACTTCTTCATTTGATTCCCTATTGAAAAACGAAATAAAAATTTTTTAAATATCCTTTTCGTTACCTTCTCTCTCTCCCGGATAATAACCCCAGGTATGGACTCTCACATCGGGGTACCTAGGGCTGGTGAATTTTTGAAGCATTTTTCATTTAAAATATTTTCCAGTACAGCATTGTAAATGCAAAATTATTAAAATATTACAATAATCGAAAGTATAATATTTGTAAAAATATTTCTTTAGGCCGTTTTGGGTGGATTGCCTAAACATTAATGAAAATACACTCACTACTAGCGAAAAGTAACATGTGCTTGAAAAATTCTTCAGTCTTATTGAGTCTCGAGTAGCTCGGGGTACTTGGGACAGGATTGTTTAAGCTTTATTCATTATGAAAACAAAGACATTTCGAGATATATCCGATTTTTGGTTCTATTAATAAAATTTCATAAAATCCATAACACGTATTGCAGTTTTAGTGTTCACTTAGAGATTCCAACGCACTTGATTGTAGTATATTTTTTTTCTTCCTCTAATTCGTATTTTTGAGCTTTTTATATCGGAGACAATGACAAAGTGCAAAGCAGGTATACTTATTTTATTTGTTGTCTGATATTTATTATCTTTTCTTGACCCGAAAAACGAGGCATCTTGTAACAGAATCTCCTTAACTATCCGTTCGGACCCCATTAATCATTACACAACACACACTGTTGCGTGTCTAACTACATAAAAAAACACAAACAAAGAAATATTATCTCACCAGCGGCAATCATATAAATAGTACACCAATTTTCATCATTACACAGCAGACAATAACTTTCTAAACACCTTATACTTATTACAACTATCAGATATTGTAAGGTTACTTTCTGTCATCTTAGGCTTCATTGTCGAGCGCAACGATGTCACGTCCATGAGGTTCAATATATTGAAACTTAATTCAAATGGTGATTAAAGCTGTTTTTCATTGGACACTTTGATTGGACATTCATTGCAGAAGCTCGGTATCAAGTAACTCGGTGGTGTAGTGAATAAGCCCCGCTGCCCGCGTTCGTTATTGTGAAGGAACTCGGTCACTGGATGGGTGACCGAAAAAATATCCCGACTGAAAATGTTGGTCCCGGCTGCATTTTCAGTCATTAACACTCTCCAATAGGCATTGGGCCAGCGTGGAGGGTCATGGCTCATCCTCCTTAACCATCCATAAAGAAGGCTGAGCCCCTGCAATGGGTAAATGGGCTCATAATGATAATGATGATGATGTATGACTATTACTCACACATGATGTGTGTTCGCCATTTTTATATTATAAAGATGTTAATATAAAAAATTATATAAATAATTAACATACCTTTTGTATTTGTTCTAGAGTGCACCAGTTGTAATGACGATGAATTGGGCGTTACACGGTGGACTATGCCTTTATTGAAGTCAGGGGAGAAGAGATACTACTTAGGAATATTTTTTAAGGTAAGATATCTTATGTATAATATTATTACTTTAATAACTTCACTAAAAAATCTTACAATGCTACAGAACATCTCACATGTTCTGTATGATAATTTTAATCAAGGTAGGTAGTGCAACAGAGGGTTTTTACAGGTTGGCCTGCCATTTCAACCTGCCATTTAAGGGCGGGGTGGTTTAGGAGCTCTGTTGAGACTTAAGGTGCATTTGCCCGGCGTAATATAAAAAATATAATACATAAACTATTACTATTGTAATATTAGAAATATCTGAATCGATATTATCATCCCTAATCAATTCAAACGAACAAACAATCAAATCTTTCCTTTTTATAATATTAGGAGAGATATTTAAGTATAATGAAATAAACAACAAATATTTATTTGCGTACATAATCATAGATTACAAATTAAATCAATTGATTGACAGAGCGTTCCTATTACTCGACTATTTAGGTTTAACAGCAATTAGATATTATATAACATACTAACTGGTTTCCGCGACTTCGCCCACGTAAATTATAGCCTACGTCACCGGCATCAGATGTAGCTCCCCGAAGATAAAATATTTTTTTCAATCGGTCTTGTAGTTTAGAGCATGTTCCTTGACAGCAATCAAATCATACCTCTTTATTATAATATTAGTAGAGTACGAAATAAAATAAAATGAAAAGCACTTTGCGATCGTCCAAGTAGTCATTTGTTTATATAAATAAGCTTATTTAAAGCATTTTTGTATGGTCCATATAGCGAACGCCGATGTTGAATTGATGTTATACATTTTTAATCCATTTTTAATGATTGTACTTTCTTATTTACATATAAATTGTTCTTATTAGATTACAATAAAATAAAAGAAAACCTGTTACAAACATGAGAAAATTTAACGGAAGAGTATAAATGCAATTTAAATTAAGAATAAAAACAAAACAGCGTCATCCACAGACGTAGCATACGCATCGTTGTGACGTAACAAGTTCGATCGGCACTCGCTTTCTCTTTCGCTCTGCGTAATACCTCGCCTACCCATGAAGAGCTGTATTAAAATGAGTTTTATTATATTAATTAATTGCATTTTTCTATGATTACCAAACGAAATCGTATACAGAACCAACAATATAGATTCCTACGGATTTCCGTTATTTACGTTTAGGATATGTTGTACAAGATATCAACTGATATTCTTGGAAATATATACATGATATTACTATTGCGAAAAGCATATCCAATGTTAAACTTATTTAATTTTCCTTTATACTCGTATAAGTTACATTAAATTAGTTACAATGTATAGGTACTAGCTTTCCACCGCGCATTAAATATATAAACCTTCCTCTGGAATCGCTGTAAATTGATGAAAAACATATTAAAATCTATTGTGAAGTTAAAAAGGCCTCAGAGTATACACAGTGGAAAGCAACTTTGTTTTTTATTATGTTTAGATAGAAAGACAGATTAAAATAACAATTGATTATTAATTTCTCCACATAACAAACAAAACATTGTTTTTCCACAGTCTATTTAATACCTTGTGGAACTATTAGAGTTGTAGCTATCAGTTGTAACTCTATATTGTTACAACATTCTAAACAAAAATAAATGTCGATGTCAGAAATATTCTTTGTACATAACAATTTAATTCACATCGCATACTCAAATAATACAATCAATCAAACTCTACATAACGTTACAAGTGTTCTTTTGAATTGCTTATACCATACTAAATCACAGTTTACACTGAGAGCGAAGCGAAATGACGCTAATTTCTTTTAGTATACTTAAATTAAAATTCATAGATGTAATCTAGGTAATCCATATCACAACCGAGCTACTCAATTACATCCATAGATGTAACATAGATGTAATTGAGTAGCTCGGTGGCGTATTGGATAAGCGCCGCGGCCCTCGATCGTTGTTGTTAAGCAACTTTCGCAAAGGTCGGTCACGGGATGGGTGACCAAAAAATTAGTATCTCGAGCTACTCCGTGCTTCGGAAGTCACGTTAAGCTGTTGGTCCCGTCTGCATTTGCAGTCGTTAATACCCTCCAATCCACAGTGGGCCAGCGTGGAGGGTCATGGCCCATACTCCTTAACCATTCATAAAGAAGGCCTGTGCCCCTGCAGTGGGGACGTGGAAGGGCTGATAATGATGATGAATCTAGGTAATAATGACTTATAAAAGTCCAAACACCATTGATATTCTTAAAAAAACAAACACTTTATCCCTGGCACTCTGAGCTGGGACTACAACCCATGATCTTTCGCAATCCGAGTGAATGCAAAATTGATTAAATATAATCATGGATAAAGTGGATTTATAAGAATTTTTCATTAAGAATATTTTCAGTATAGTGTTGGGAATACAAAATTGATCAATAGAATCATTAATTTGGAAAATCTACGGCGAGAAATCTTGTGCTGAGGAAACAGAATTTTATTTTTGTCTTGTATAAAGAGGCCAAATGAAATACGATGATGAATTTACTTTCCTTATATTTTAAATAAAAAAATAATAAATTATTTGTGAATATATTATCATACTGTATTTTGAGTACACTAGTGAATTAACTACGCCAGAACGCATAGCATGGGTAGCAGCAACGAGTCGAGACCGAGAGTGAAATGTTGTAGCTATGTAGGGTGCTAGCAAAAATGGATAAAACATTTCACGATTTCATCTTTATAGCTTCGGCCGCTTCGCTCCTATTGGAGTCTGCGCTCAATACTTTCTATAGCAATATTTATAAATAATATCAAAACAACGGTAAAGATTGATGCCGCTATGTCCAACGTGTTTCTACTGTTTTACGTGCTAATCTATTCTTCATTATAAATTTAATTTAATTATAACGCTTATATATGAAACTCAACCTATTAAGTGGTTAAAAAGACTGTATTATCTATAGATTACGTACCTAATCTGAGTATATTTTCAGTTTATATCTCGAACTAAGACGTAATTTAGAAAAATGTAGAGAAATCCAATTACTTTGTATAAAAATCAAAATTTTCAGACGACTTAATAATAGGTTTCCAAGTAATTAGCCACAAAGCCAATGTCCTGGAAGGGAAGCCCGACCACCATGCAAAATCTACTGCAAACGTGAAACTGTCCCCCACTAGAGCTGAGGCCGCGATAATTGAATCACTAGAACTCGATCATGTTCAACACATAATTCTGTATTAGTGAAAACGATATCAGAATCTACGTAAGTGCACTGAAATGAACTGAAATATTCTTGCTTAATAAATCGACCGATGAAAAAATAATTATTATAAAGTTACGAAATGTATTTTTATCAATATGTTGTAAGGTTCTTACTCAAATCTGTATTCTTTTTCTTTTTATTAATAATGGCCTCACTTGTCACCTCAATCCAACCCAAGGATACGAATGAGATTCTTTTTCCTCGGTTTATTTGGTAAAGATTAAAAATACATACAATTTTTTTGCTTCTAATATTTAGAAAACGAAGAGACTTACTACAACCCTACTTACTATTAACTCTAATATTATTTAACCAATAAGACTACAATAAGATGCAAATATGCTAGCAATCGTATTGCACACAGTGTAAAGCAGTACAAAATATAAATATATAATTATCAACAGACATTTTCGATGTTCAAAAATGACATAAGAGCAACTTATTAAATTCATTTGTGTATTTTACGAGAGGAGAAACGAAAGTCTTATTTAACTTATTAAAGATCGCTAGTTTTGGAACTAAACGCTTTTCATGGTACAATTTAACATATTTATTACTTCACATTCCCACCTAATGTGAGGATGGAAAAAACAATAACCGTCACACTTTGAAGAAACAAACGAATTAAAACTATTGCATATCATATCTAATAATATTATGAATAGTATTTAATATTATCTATCATTTTGAAAATACCTCATTTTATATGTGCCAATGTTTACGACGTTCTTCCTTTATTTTGTCATGCAAATTTGAATCAAACTAACCACCAGGTAAGGCTGATATTATATTTAAATACTGCGCTACAACAATTTTAACAGCAAATCTTATATATTACCTACAGACTATAACTTATGTTATGACTCATACAATTACTTACGAATTGCACGCAACATGCAAAAGCAGGTTCTATTTCATTCACTTTTATTCACGGACTTGAATCAATGTCATAATTTGGACTAGTATTGTCGCGAAAACGATGGTTTCCTTATCGATATATGATATTTATTATAATGGTATTGGTTAAATGGTACACAGTAAAATTCTGTGTCTTACGTGACGGATTTTTTTTTTCTTGTACAATACATGCCTAGGTAATAGTCTTCTACATAAAAGCGTTAACAGTAGAGAAACAAATAAATCTTACTTATCATAAAAAGTGAATGGTTATTTCTTTATACTATATAAATACTTTAAAAATAGTCACATAACACAATTAAAACTTTAGGTTTTCTCAACGGTATTGACAATATTGAAGTAAATTACTATCAAACGATAATAGAACATATGACAGTGATAATAATACGACTATTTTCACAAGATATCTACCAATATATTTAAACGTCATTTGAAATAATAGATGCAATCATCACATATAGGAACGTACGACTATAGGGCTACTAATCGATCGTATCACTGACAATCGAAAGATCGGTAGATTTTCTAAGCCATAATAATATCACGATTATCGATAAACTATCATATTCGTAATGATCTATGGTAACAAAACTGTGTTGCACATTTGAATTGATATAATTTGGTAGGCATCATTCGGAACTCAATTTGTTTACATTCCGCTTTCTGTCGGTGGATAAACATTTGTGTGATCGATATAGAGCAAATTTAAAGTTTTATTTTAAGTGGGGAACATAAAATGAGTCATTGTGAAAGCAGTTGTGTCTTAATTACTTGCTTGGGATTATATAAAAATAATAATAATGGTTAATAATACACGCGAAAAAAACTACCTGTCTGTTTTTGCGTTTTACATTTAAACCAGAACCAATTTGTACTT